AATAAATATTTTGAAACCCATCCAAACAAGCAAAAAGGAAATGACAAAATCTAAAAAGTATCTGTGAGAGAGTTATATATTAAAAGACTTCAATAATTTATGGGAAATTACTCTAACATTGCATGAGACTTACTTTTTATTTCACATTCACATAAAAATATGTGTTTTTCTTTTTATTAAAAATAAAATAAAATTGATGGGCCCAATTCTATTTGTCCCAGCGTGGTGCACTTGTTACCAGACGAGGTGTCCCAGAGCTTGACTTGGTGCTCGACGAGGTGCACCTGGTGTCAGGCATGGTGCACCTGCTCCCGGACGTGGTGCACCAGATGCTTGATTTGGTATCCGGCAAGTCGCACTTGGTGCCAGGCATGGTCCACCGGATGCTTGACTTGGTGCCCCAGGTGCACCTCGTCGGGCACCAAATCAAGCATCTGGTGCTCCTCGTCCGGTAGCAGGTGCACCACATCTAGTACCAAATACACCTCGTCGTGTACCAAGTCAAGCATCCGGAAGCAGGGGTACCACGCCTGTCACCAGATATGCCATGTCGGGCACCAAGACAAGCATTCGGTGCACCTCATCCGACAGTTAATATAACTTCTTTCTTACTACGGGAAAGAAGTAAAATCCATAATTTATATGTCATTAATATACGGGAATTGTTTTTTTATGTAACATAAAAAAGCAATTTCTTACATATACACGTTGAATAGAGAAAACAATAGAGACAAGAAAAAATTTAAGGTGGGTCCAGTCTGCCAGGATTGACTATTTTTTTCAAATGAGAAAAAGATTCCCCTCAGTATATAGATAACAAAAAGAGGAAATGAGTGTACCTAACCAAACAAATGACGAAATTAACGAGAAAAACACATATCTATTTTATACAAGAGTGGAATATTCTCCCAAGCCAAATTGATTGGATCCTATATTTTACGCCACCGAAACGAAATGGTCAAGGAATACGAAAACTGAAATAAGACATTTTATATCCGTCGTTGAAAATTCTTCCCAATTAATCGGTTCATTGAAGGAAGTTAATATCATAAAAGTACAGCTCTCAAAATAGAATATCAAAAATTTGTTAATTATAGATTTTATGTATTTAGAAGTTTATTTAATATAATAATTAATAAATATTTATTACTCAATCTTGAGTATGCATATCATTAAAAAATAATAGAAAGTAATGCTCTTATTTGAAAAATTATAAGGATATGTATGATAACCATTCTGTTTTCTGACATTGTTTATGAAAAGAAATAATTCTTTTCTATTTCCGTGTCTTGAAATAGTTTTTGAGAGAAAAAAATATGTTTGATAACGTGTTCTTTTCTATTCCGAGAATGAGAATTGCGTTTAATAACAAAACAAATAATATAATAAAAAATAATTCTTATTAAACAAAAAATTTTGAATTATCACTTTCCTTTTCATATGGTGTGGTGGTGGTGGTGGCGGTGGCGTGGTGATGGTAGTGGTGGTGATGACATGGCAGTGGTGGTAACGATAGTGACTGCGACGATGATTGTGGTAATGATGGCGATGGTGGTGGTGGTGACAGCGGTGGTGGTAATAGAGGCATGATGGTGGTGGTGATGGCAGTGGCTGCGAATGCGATGATGGTAGCAGTGGTGGTGGTGGTGGTGGTAGTGACGATGATGGTGGCGTGGTAGTGACGGCGATAGTGGTGGTGGTATGGTGGTGGTTATGGCATGATGGTGGTGGTGATGGCAATGATTGCAGCAATGGTGGTGATGGTGGTGGCGATGGCGATGAAATGGTAGTGGTGGTGGTGATGGCGGCGGTGGTGGTAATGGCAATGGCTGCGACGATTGTGGTGGTGGTTGGTGGCGGTGGTGGTAATGACAGCAATGGTGGTGGTAATGACAGCGATGGTGGTGGTTGGTGGGGGTGACGTGGTGATGGTGATGGTGATGGCATGATGGTGGTTGTGACGATGGTGATGTGGCGGTGGTGGTAGTGGTGGTGACAATGGCATGGTGATGATAGTGGCGGTGGTAGTGATGGTGGTGATGGGTGGAGGTGGTGGTGGTGACGACGACAATGGTGGTACGACGACGGCGACGACGACGGTGGCGGTGGTCGTGTCAGGATGGTGGTGGTGGTGATGATGGTGGAGGCGAAGAGTGATTGAGAGACAAGTGTTTCTCATTTGTGCTCAGGAACGAAAAAATAGAATTTGTTTTGATTCATTTTATTTATTTCCCAGCACAAAAATTAAACCGGTTCATCTAGGGAAAAAAACTGATTTTACCAAAAGAGTTTTCTATCTATTTTTGTTCTCGAGAATATAAATTAAAAAAAACTGATTTCGAAAAAATTGTCATACACACCCTAAGACTTGCAAGCAAAATGGCTTCATTTTACATTATATTACCGAAATCTCAGTGTTGACAAATTCGGCAAGTGCACCGGTCGTACAAGTAATAAAGTGATAAGAAGGTTTGTCGATCCCACGAGGACTGATGACCAAGCAATAATTTTTTTATTTAATTAAAGTTGGATCGATCATTAAAGGTTTTCTTGAGAATATTGTGATTAAAATAAAAACAGAATTTATAAACTTATTTTTGGTTTTTAATATTTTAGAAATTTAATTCAGAATTAATTAAAGCTAAAAGAAATTGATTTAAGTTTTCAATAAAAAGGCGTAGTTAGGATTCAACTTCCCCAATGGTTTCTTAACGAGTTTGCTTACTCTTACGATTACATTCAAGATTAAATTATTAACAGCTCTTTCTATAATTAACTAAATCCCAATCCTTTGGTAATTTAATTCTTTATTCTAATCCAAAGCCTAATCCCTTAGTACTTTTTCATAAAACAAGCATTAACGCCAGAACTCACAGTTATAAAATTCACAAGTCTATCCCTAGATCATGCGAATTCCAGCAATCAACCAATCAGAATCATATACCAACATCCCTATTGTCATATATGACTCATGTGTTTATCTAAGAGTGATCAAGTCATAAATAAAATGAAGCATAAATATCAGATTGATTGCATAATTTAGAAACAAGAATGTAATTCATAAGAATAAACAAACATCAACTAAGAACCCATTGGTTCTGTATCTTCCTAACTACTGAAAGTAAATTAGCTAGACATAATTATAAATGCAGAATTGAAATAAACAGTAAAAGAAATAAAGTTCATCGTGAAACTTGATTAATGGAGACAAATAATGATGCGAATTGCATTCTTTTCTTTTCCTAAGCAATGCTCCAACATTCCTCTTCACTCCTGCCTTCGTCTTCTTCTCTGACTTCGTCTTTCTCCGCGTTCCAGAATGATTTTTTTACGGCTTCCTTCGCGTCGTATTTAAAGGGGAAATATGGGCTTTAATTTCCTGGATCCGCTCGCTCCATCGATCGCCTATGCTAAGACATTAGCGAACTGCTGGCCATTTTGCTCGCTCTAGCTAGTAACTTTGCTAGCTGCTCGCCTACTTGCTAGCTCTAGCTAGCAACTTTGTTAGCTACTCGCCTACTTGCTAGCTCTAGCTAGTAACTTTGCTAGCGTTACAATTTTTATTTTATTTATTATTTCATTTATGATTTCCCATTGCTCCGCGGATTCGTTGCCTCATTTTGTTACTTTGTTATTCCAGTATTCCAGTCTCAACAACCTGAAACAACAACAAATATTTAGAATTTGTTTATTTGTTGGCAATTCATTCTGTTTTACTATTTTATTGTTTTAACACTATATTTTTAACTATTTTAATAATTATTTGAACTCTTTTTAGTCATAAAAACATAGTGTCTTAGACACTTATCACTCAGCCAAGAAGAGTAATATTTCTGCCAAACGAAAAAATCTTCAATATAAAAATATTTATACTTTGGTGTATCTAGTGAACCATGTGCGTCCTTCAATTTCATCTGGTGGGAAGGTTTTTATCAGTAATTCTAAATTGTTTCGCTTGAAAATCGAACTAAACACTGTACCAATTATGCCAAATTGCCAATGCCACCCTCGAAATTGACTTCTACTTTTTCTCCATTAATAACATTGAATATACTTTGTAACGTTATTGTATCAGATCGTTGATATGTTAGAGTTAATATAAATTTAAAACAAATAATATGGGTTGATTATAATTAAATAATAAAAATATGGGATAAGATATTCTGATCAGAATTTCAACTACCTCGAATAATGTTGGAAATGAGCGGTAGAATAGACATAAAAAATATAAGCATTATATTATATTTCTAGAAATATATACATATATAAATTAAGTAATATGATATTATATTTTTTTTTATACCTATCTATCTATTTATTTTTAACACTATTAATTCTATATAAAGAAAAGAGAAAAAAAGATAAAATCAATTATAAGTATAATCTAATAGTTTTGGAAAGAAATACGCAGAATAGACATGGAATTGTTTTTTTTATAGGGTTTACTATTATAAAGGTTTACAATTGATATCAATAAGGTTAAGTGAATGTTTTTAAAGACATAATTTGTATCTTTTTAGTAGGTTTATACTATGTCTTAATTACAATATATTTTTTTTTTCATTTTTCACCTTAACTAATATGTTTGTGGAGATAAAAAAATAACTTTTCGTATTATAAGTAGAGGAAAGTTATATTTACAATATTTTTTTTTACAACCTTTTACAATCATATCTTAACTAATTTTTACCAATAACGGTTATGATTTTTGCAAATTAAACTCATTATTAATTATTAATTCACAATAAATGATAACCGTTGATTGGCGGAAATTAACAGTGTTAAAAAAGTGTTGTAAGTATTTAAAAAAAAAAAAAGTGTTGTAACTATAACCTTCCTGTTACAAGTATATCAATTTATTAAAAAACACAACTTTTAAAAAGGATACGCCTTTTTTTTCCTATTTTATATGACGTGGGAGTTGAAAGTAGACAACAATATACAATACTGTAGGCGTTGAAACCAAAGCTTGCAATTTATTCTGCTTTTCTATATAGATATTGTCCTCTCCACCCTTTCAATTCAAACCCCTTGGAATTTTCTTCATGGATTCAATCTCTAGTGAAGTAGCCCATGATTTCTCACCCCTTATCAAAATCTACAAAGACGGTCGTGTAGAGAGGCTTCTAGGGTGCGATGTTGTTCCCCCATCTTTTGATCCCATAACCAACGTCGAATCCAAAGACGTTGTGATCTCAAAAGATGAAGACATATCTGCAAGGATCTTCATTCCCAAACTCAACGATCAAAACCAAAAGCTCCCTCTCCTTGTCTACTTCCATGGCGGTGGTTTCTGCATAGAAACACCATTCTCACCTCCTTACCACAAATTCCTCAATTCAATTGTTTCTGAGGCTCATGCTATTGGTGTCTCTGTTCATTACAGGAGAGCACCGGAGCACCCCGTTCCCATCGCTTATGAAGATTCATGGACTGTGCTCAAATGGGTCGCTTCACACTTCGATGGAAATGGCCCTGATGAGTGGCTCAATCGCCACGCTGATCTTGGGAACGTGTTCTTCGCTGGGGACAGTGCTGGAGCTAACATTGCACACCAAATGGGTCTTCGGGTCGGAACAGAGGGGCTTCCGGGTGTAAAGCTTGAAGGGATTGCTTTGGTTCATTCATTCTTTTGGGGCGTGGAACGAATAGGATCTGAGGCCGAGAAAACTGAACATCTAGCCAAGGTGGAGAATTTGTGGCTTTTTACATGCCCGACATCGACTGGATCCGATGACCCGTTGTTCAACCCGGCTAAGGATCCGAATCTGGGGAGGCTGGCTTGCACGAGAGTGTTGGTTTGTGTTGCTGAGAATGATTTGTTGAAGGATAGGGGTTGGTATTATAAAGAATCGCTTGAGAAAAGTGGGTGGCACGGTGTAGTTGAAGTGATGGAGGCAAAAGGAGAAGGCCATGTGTTTCATCTGTTCAATCCAAACTCTAACAACGCTCTCTCCTTGCTCAATCGTATTGTTTCCTTCATCAATCACAGTTAAGTATGCATGCAGTTATATGCATAACTTATGAATAATACATCTCAGACTGTAATGGATCTTTATGTCTTGTAATAAGATTATGCCATGTTTAAAACATCATCGTATTATATGACAAATTTGGGTTATTCATTAACAATTTAATAATAAAAACGAAAGATAGAAAAATGATCATTTTAATTACTAACAGCTGAGATTTGATCATCTTAAAACAACAGAGGATCCATTTAGAGATTTATGGACGACCTTCTTTTAACAACCTTAGCCAGCTAGCGTTTCCTCAGTCTACTTGCAATTATGAGGATATGGAGTTTCTGCGTGTTTTATGTAACTGGCTATTGGATTGTTTTACTTTAGCAGAGATGGAGTGTAAATAATGTAAAATTAAAAATAAAGAACCTTGGCTATCAGAGCCTCGCCGCTCCCCACTTTCTCTTGTGGAATTTTTTAGCACTCTCTGTGAGGGGGTGTGTTGAGATATATAGTCCCACATTGGTTGTATGTGCAACTAATGTGGTCTTTATAAGACCTTGAGCACTCCCACCCTTTGAGCTAGCTTTTGGAGTGGTGTATCCCAAGGTTCTTTACATGGTATCAGAGCTTGAGCCCTCATCGCGTCCCACTTCAAAGTGGAATTAAAATAAAATAAAAAAAAGCACAAAAGGTAAACCAAAAATTGGGCCTGTGCAATTCCACGCTTCTAGCCCAAATGGCTCTTGCGTGAGGGGCGTGTTGAGATATATAGTCCCACATTGGTTAGATGTGCAAATAATGTGGAGTTTATAAGGCCTTAGGCACTCCCACCCTTTGAGCTAACTTTTAGGGTGGTGTATCCCAACATCCCAAGGTTCTTTGTGTATCCCAAAGGTTCTTTACATAGCCTCACCGTCCCCCGCTTTAAAAGTGGAATTAAAAATAAAATAAAAAGCACAAAAGGTAAGCCAAAAAATGGGCCCGTGTAATTTCCACGCTTCTAGCCTAAATGGCTCTTGCATGAGGGGGCGTGTTGAGATACATAGTCCCACATTGGTTGTATGGACAACTAATATGATCTTTATAAGGCCTTGGGCACTCCCACCCTTTGAATTAGCTTTTGGGGTGGTGTATCCCAAGGTTCTTTACATGGTATCAGAACTTGAGCCCTCACCGCGTCCCACTTCAAAGTGGAATTAAAATAAAATAAAAAAAAGCACAAAAGGTAAACCAAAAATTGGGCCTGTGCAATTCCACGCTTCTAGCCCAAATGGCTCTTGTGTGAGGGGCGTGTTGAGATATATAGTCCCACATTGGTTAGATGTGCAAATAATGTGGAGTTTATAAGGCCTTAGGCACTCCCACCCTTTGAGCTAACTTTTAGGGTGATGTATCCCAACATCCCAAGGTTCTTTGTGTATCCCAAAGGTTCTTTACATAGCATCACCGTCCCCCGCTTTAAAAGTGGAATTAAAAATAAAATAAAAAGCACAAAAGGTAAGCCAAAAAATGGGCCCGTGTAATTTCCACGCTTCTAGCCTAAATGGCTCTTGCATGAGGGGGCGTGTTGAGATACATAGTCCCACATTGATTGGATGGGCAACTAATATGATCTTTATAAGGCCTTGGGCACTCCCACCCTTTGAATTAGCTTTTGGGGTGGTGTATCCCAAAGGTTCGAACCAGTAACCATTTTCATTATCAGTGGAATGGATATATACTTGGTCATTCCTGTTGGAAAAATTCTCTCAAACTAATTTGTCTTTATTCTTTTCTTTTTTGTAACAATGTCTTTATTTTTTAATGGCACAAATACATGCGTATTTATAAATGAAAGTCATATCCGTTACACTGAAGTTGACTGAAATTATTTATGAACTGTTGGAATTTCGATTTGTAATTTAACTCACAATAAAGCAAAATTTCCAAGTCAATTTATCCCTACGTATAGCATTTGCAATACAATAAAAAGTTTAGAGTAAGGTAAGATTTTACCCTAACAAATTCAAAGACAAACCATAAATATTAACGATACTTTATAATGAGATTACAAAATAATCTATCACTAGAGAATTTTTGAATTCGAACTCAACTCATGTAGTTAATATAAGGGAAAGGTTGACTAAGTGAACCAACAACTACCGTTGAATAAGATAAATAGGTGAATGATAACAATTCACTGAATTTGCATTAATGACCACACATTACTCAATAACATACTCCCCTTAAAATGCTGTTTGTGAACTCCTACGGCTTCTTTGAGTTGTTGGAATTCTCCCTTGGAAGTCTTATAGTGAAGTTTTTTCTTATTTCTCTTGAAAATCATTAAAAAAAATAAAATTGCTGGACTCTTTCGTTGCGTGTTCCTCGTGATGCTTGATTTTGAGTTGTTAGAACTTATACCATTCTATTAGAGAAACTCTCTCAATGTGATTTGTCTTGTTTTCTTGAATAATTTTGACTTGAATACTCTTCTTTCCGGATGTTTTCTTTTTTCTCTTATTAGTGCTATAACAACTTTTTCGAAATATTTTTTTTTTAATTTCTATTCTCTGGAACAAAAATGGATAGAAAATTCGTTCGATAAAATCGATTTTTTTTTTATTCTCGGGACAAACCGATTTAATTTTTGTGTTGGTAACAGAAGAAAGAATAAATTTTTTTTTGCTTTTTTTGTTCTTGTTCGGGCACAAAATGAGAAACACTTGTTTCTCTCAATCACTCTTCACCACTACCATCATCCCAACACGACCACCGCCACTATCGTCGCCGTCGTCGTACAACCAGTGTCGTCGTCACCACCACCACCATCACCGTCACGATGCCACCGCCACCAACCACTACCATTACCACAGCCATTGCCGTCACCATTACCACCACTACACCATATGAAAAAAAAAGTGGTAATCTAAAATTTTTTTATGCTTAATAGAAAGTATTTTTTATTATATTATGTTGTATCATTAAACGCAATTTTCATTCTCAGAATTAGAACATGTTATCAAACACATTTTTTTCTTCTTCTCAGAAACTGTTCCAAGGCACAAAAATAAAAAAAATTATTTCTTTTTAAAAACAGTGGAACAGAACAAAATTTTTTATCGTCGACACCTTTAGATTCTTGAGTATGATTTTCCTTGATCTTTAGTTTCTCATTTGCGACTAGTCTCCCAATTTCTTCCTTAAGGAACGTTCGGAACAGGAGAATTTTTTTTTATCAGGAACAAAATTTTCCTCAGAATATGTTGGGAAGAATTTTTTGCCGGGTAAGTTAAAAAAGGTGTTTGGTATGCCAAATTTTTTTCGAAAAAATTGGATAAATTTTACTGATATTATATGTAAAATTTTACTACCGCAAAGGTAAAAATTTTTTCCACCCAATTCATGGTAAAATATTACTCTTGGTCCATGAGTAAAAAATTAGATGGAAAAAAATTGTGTCCAACCCCTTTTAACTCTTCCTTCTACCAAACATGGCCATATATTTTTACCTGCCCTTTTTTTCCGGTCAATTTTTTCTTCCCTCCCACCAAACACCCTTTAGTGGTTTCTACAAACTCAAATTCGTGGTAGCTCACGAAAAGATAAATTTGCTTCACATGTATTTTTCAAATGCACAATTTCTTTCCTTAGGGCCTGTTTGGTGTGATGTATAAGGCCTGATAGTATAAGCTTATACTATACATTATGACATTTTCAGTTGTTTGGTGTGACTATAGTATAGTATAAGCTTATACATCAAGACTCTTTAATACATCAAAATGATGTATAAGTTAATCAGGTCTAGAGATGTGGGATTAGACCTGATAAGCTATTGATGTATTAAGTTAATCCCTTGCTTCCCCTTCTACCCTTTTTCCTTCTCCATCCCCTTTCTTCCCCTTCCCCCTTTTAACGGAGGCGGCATCAACCACGCCGGAGCGGCAGGCTTCGGAGACAACTCGGTGGGGACAAGAAAGAGAGAGAGGATTTGGAACACACAAGAGAATAGATGTTGTTCAATTTCTCTATAGCAACACATGAAATCCTTGTCATACTTGCAACGTATGTTAGGAACGGTCACTACGATGAGGTTCTCTATCGCTATTTGGAGCAATGGAAATTTGGTTTGTGTGGCTCAACCATTACGTTTTGTCTGAAAAGTTGTGTTGCTTTAGGGAGGTTCTAATGTGGAAGAGGGGTCTATGTTGATTCCTTAAAGCTGAATTTGAACTCTGATTGTTTTGTTGGTTATTCTCTCATTCAGTTATATTCCCAATATGAGAAAATCGAGGACATATATAAGGTGTTTGATGAAATTACCAACAAAGATCTTGTGGCTTATTCGTCCATGATTACTGCCTATGCACACTGTGGGGGCTCATGTGCTTATGGGGCTTCTGGATTTCTTACTCAATGTAAGAGCAACAAATGCATCCCAATATCGACTAACATTAGTGAGCTTACTGCACACAACAGTGAAATTGGGATCCCTGCAAGAGGCTCGTGCAATCCATGGCTATGCCATTAGAAAAAAAATTGGCTTGTTGGATGAGATTTTTGAGACAGCCCTCCTCGATATATATCATAAATGTGGGAATATAGAAATTTTTTCTATCAAATTATAGAAATACAATAGATTTTTTATAAAAATTAACACCATATGAGATATTTGGAAGAATTATATAAATTCCTTATTAAAGAGTATTTTTGTCAAAAATATTTATTTTTATCATATCTGGTATTATACAGTGCATTACCAAACAATGGATAGTATTAACTTATACAATACATTATCTTATACAATATCATGCCAAACGCTGGATAGTATTAAAATTTAATTAGACATTATACAATCAGGTCTTATACTATCAAGCCTTATACTATCAGGTCCTATCATGTGCACCAAACATGTCCTTAGACTCGTCAGAGAAGTACTTGTGATTGTTTTGCCAAGTGGCATAATTAGAGGAAAATAGTCTAGTATAGGTCATTATGGTTGTAGCTATTAATTGACCCTTTTTTTCTTATCAACTATATACAGAACATTTTCCAACATAAAAAATCACTTTGTAACCTTTGTTAGGCAATGGGTGGATATTTAGTTTATCCTAGGCTAGGTACAATGAAAGCGTTACGAATAAACTTTTGTTGGCTATTTTTAATTTTGAGTGCAATAATGTCTCTTCCTCCCACTTCTTGAATTTTATATTTTCTTTCAGATTGATAAATTAACCTTTGTTACCTGTAGTTTAAACAACCATCATCTAAGGAGAACTCTCAGTATGAGATCTTGATCAACCATCATACTGAATCACTTAATTACATGCTGAGTTTGGTTGCCATAAAAGTGGCTAACAAATAGCTGAGTTGTTTTGACTTGGTTCACTTAACCCATGAGTTAAGTCAGTTTGGGCTAGGTTAGCCTGTGGACTGACCCAATTTAAATTAAAAATAATTTTAAACTTAAAGAGACTAATCGAGGGTCAAGAAACACAAACAGAAGCCCCAAATCCTTGTTTTAACCTTGTCATTCCAAATATGATCCCTAGTCTACCACCACAACTGCCACAAATCTGTCGTCGAGCCATCACCATGGTCCATGGATCTCTCATCAAACCCAATTTCAATTTATCAAGACCAAAAGCTCTATTCTCATTTTCAAACTTAATTTGACACTTATTCAAATTTTAATGATAAAAATACACGCATAATCAACAATTCAAAATTTTACAGGGCTCCTCTTTGAATCATCACAAGAACTCTAGCATCCATGACATTCTTCATCTTCAAATCACCGTGTTGCTCAATTATAGCTTTTATTGTTGTCTCGCTTCTTCATACCTCTTTTGTGCTAAATCCAAGACATCCAAAACAAATTATCCATTTTATTGTTCAAAAGTTTACTTAGGATATATAGCGCTTTTTTTTTTTTTTTTGGATTACAATGAAAATCGACTCTATACATATTACATTACACTACACACACCTAACACATACATCACACCACTAAGTTAACCCTAATGGTTATAGGTAGAGGTGACAAAACAGACTCGACCCGTCTTGCCCCCTAAACGGGGCGGGGCAGACTGAGTATTTCAAACCCGCCGCTCGCCAGCCCATTGGGCTGAGTTTTCTAGCCCACCTTCAAAGATGGAGCAGGTCAGTCCATTTTTTGGCGAGCTTATGGCGGGCCGGGGAGGGTCAGGTCAGACAACCCGCTTTGCCTCCTTTAGTTATAGATAGGGATGGTAAACGAAGCAGGGGTCTTCCAGGGATTTTTGACCCAGATCGTGAAGATCTGAGTCTACATATCTAAAATTGATTATTGGAATCTGGCTTGAACTTGTACAGAAGCTCGTTTAATATAAAAAGGCCTCAGGCTCCAATTTAAAAGCCCGACCTTAGAGCCTTTCAGACTGGTCTAATATACTAACTTTTTTTATTTTATATTTTTATACTACTCGTAATAGTTATCTCTCTACTCAACCCATTTCACCCCATTTTATTGATTAAACAAGTTTTTTAAATGATTTTTGTTTTATATTATAGTATCTGGACATACATTGAATTTTTTTATTTGTTGTATGCGGACATATATTGAATTTATGAATCTTTGTAAAATTATTAATGATGTTGATCATATATTCTGTTTGGATAAATTTTTATTGTCTTATTTTTTTAACAGGCTAATAGGCTAAACCATACTTTTATTTTTTATAAATAAATCAGGTCATAAACTGATAATTATATTCATAATAGGTAACAAGCAAAGCCAGACTAACACATTTAAATACAAACTTACCAAAACCCGGCCAGAAACAGCGTGTAACCACCCCTAGTTATAGGATCTTTAGCTCTTGTAGCGCTCTTTTGGAGAAACTTTCTTCAATTGCCTCGATTTAAACTTTAAAGCAAACATAATTGTATTTTACTGAAACATCCTTATGTTAAAATACTAAAAATATTATTCCCTATATTAATTTTTTCTCTCAGTTATTAATATAGAAAAATAGACTCTCAATTTTATTTATTTATTTTAAGAATGAATTATTATTATTATTATTATTATTATTAGAAATATGAATGAGCGAACCATTTTGTTTGCCTCTTATATGGATAGATGATTTATGAAAAAAATAAAGAAATGAGAAGTGCTACGAGATGATAAGGTACTCAGGCTTCACTGAACGCCACCAACAAAACAAATATCTTTTATGTGGCAACAAAAGCAAACTACCAATTCATGAATCTCATTAGCCATTCCTTCCCTTTATCACTTCCATCTAACCCATTCAAGCCTCGTCTCCTTCCACCTCTCAAACTAGCAAAACCTTCACACTCACACTCTCCACCACAGTTATCTACCATGGATTCAAGCTCTACTGAAAGTGAAGTAGCCTACGATCTCTCACCCATCATGAAGGTATACAAAAACGGTCGTATAGAGAGGCTAGCTGGTGAAGAGGTTGTTCCTCCATCTCTTGATCCCATAACCAATGTTGAATCTAAAGACGTTGTAATCTCCAAAGAAGAAGGCATATCTGCAAGGCTTTTCATACCCAAAACCACTTTTCCTCCAAGCCAAAAGCTTCCTCTTTTTATTTACTTCCATGGTGGTGCCTTCTGCATTGAAACACCGTTTTCACCAAACTACCATAACTTCCTTAACTCGGTTGTTTCATTGGCTAATGTTGTTGGTGTCTCTGTTCATTATAGGAGAGCACCGGAGCATCCGGTTCCCATTGCACATGAAGATTCATGGGCTGCACTGAAATGGGTCGCTTCCCATTCTGGTGGAAATGGTTCTGATGAGTGGCTGAATCGCCATGCAGATCTTGGGAAGGTGTTCTTTGCTGGGGACAGTGCGGGTGCAAACATTGCTCACTATTTGGGTGTTCGGGTTGGGACAGAAGGGTTGGTTGGTTTGAAGGTTGAAGGGATTGCATTGGTGCATCCTTATTTTTGGGGATTGGAACCAATCGGGTCTGAGACGAATCGGCTTGAACAAGCTGCAAAGGTTCATGATTTATGGCGTTTTTCATGCCCAAACACGACTGGATCCGACGACCCGCTAATTAACCCGGATAAGGATCCGAATCTGGGGAGCCTGGGTTGTGACAGGGTGCTTGTTTGTGTTGCTGAGAAGGATTTGTTGAAGGATAGGGGTTGGTATTATAAAGAATGGCTTAAGAAGAGTGGGTGGCATGGGGTTGTGGAGGTGGTGGAAGCAAAAGATGAGGACCATGTGTTTCATATGTTCAAACCAACTTGTGAGAATGCTCTGGCTTTGATTAACCAAATTGTTTCCTTTATCAAACAGGATTGAGCACTATCATGTATCCCTGTGACCCTGTTTTTATTATGCTTTTTTAGTTTTCAATAAATGCAATCTTTCTTGTATCCTATGTCTACTGAAGAAAAGTTTTTTTTTTTTTATGACCTTTCTGATATATTATTTGTCCATCCAAAATTACAACTACTGAGAATGTTTGTGTTGAAAGTCTAAGCTCTAATTTAGTGTTCTGTACTGGATGAGTTTTTTTTTTTTTTTTGTTCCTAAGAGAGACATGTAATTAGTACTATTTAATCAGGATATTTGATTTATAGTGTGCATCTATGGATCCATGGCAAAGAATAATGATGTTTTAGAAAGCAAGAAACAAACATGAGGAAAAGCTGAAAAAGCTTTTATTAGGAGTGGGCCCGGGTAGCAGCACGTCTCAGTCAGAAAGAGAAGCTTGTTGGCGTTTTGCTAGAAAAATCGAATGCAATAGACTCGCTTATAGGTGCATGTGTAATCAAACATATGGTTCCCCTTACTCCAAAGAAAAAAAAAACAGAATCTCATATCAACTTGAATAGTTGTATTTGTGGGTCTTCTGTTATTGTTGTTATCATTTGAATTCATTATCGCGGATTTGTCGTTGTCACTGAGCAAAAGCGAGAACAGTGTTCATTTTCATGTGCTTGTTCTTATTTAACTCCCAAGTTAAAAATCTACGCAGGGGAACTTGCGTGTTCTGTTTGTACAAGGAATAGAGAAAAGGAGAGGTGGGGAAAAAAAGCAAGTCGTTCAGGAAAGGAAAATAAAATAATAGCGTGCCATATGGATTAAAAAATAACTAGTATTTAAATGTTTTAATGTGTTTTCTAATGCTTTTTGCTATAGTGTGATGGGATGCTGAATCACTTCACTGCTTTCACTATTTTATTTCTTTTTTATATAGTAAAATACATTCATATAAATAATGTTTTATGTTGATTGGAAGGCCAATGGGGATTTTCTTTCAGGCCTTTCATGTTATTTAACCCACAATACAATTTTAAAATCCCCACAGTTGATGGACCAATAGTTGTGATTAACAAAAATAATCGAATAACATATAAGACTACAGTATAATTGGGCTCCATGTCATGGTACCCTTAGCCCAGAATGTAATCTTTAAGATGGACTAATCTTTTAATCTTCGTTTTACTTATAAGCCCAATCTGATATCCAATGATATCTGGGTCATTATGATAGACTGACCCGTCACACGCTAGCAACAATTTTCAATACTTTTGGTTTCTAATCATGTTTTTGCTTTACATGATTTTACTCCTATTATGATTTCCATAGCAGATGCAAATGACAAATGGGAATTTAATGCTGGAGGATGGATTAGTAATTGACCCCCTAGATATTCGTATTGATTGTTCTGTATACAATTGGGGAGATATTTTTTTTACTAAGTAAATGCAATTTCTAGAAATATGGTAGGAAAATGAGTTTGGTAGAAAAATTAAAAAAAAGTTATTTGATTGGCGAAAATCTTACCGAAAAAATTGGGTTAGAAGAGAATAGTATTGTCATAATTTTTGTCGACTTTTTCTCACTTACCCATTTATATGTGCAAATAGGACGTTCAAGTTGGTAAACCTCAACAGTGTATTTTGTGCATTTTTGCACTTATTCTCAATTGCTAGGCAAAAGAGAATGGTGGGCAAATTTTTATAAACCCTCTACCAAACAAAGACAACATCAATTTCCAAACTAAGATGGACGAGCATCTCCACCAAAAACTTCAACTAAACACTACCCAATTGAACTTCAGAAGATTACAATTGTCTTTTGGGACATCACCTATGATTTAAAATAGGGGAAATCACTTATTCTGTCAGTGCAAAAGTGATTTATTCCTGCCACACACTCATCGGCATTTTTTCTTTATTTTCATTTTCATTTTATTTTTAAAAAATGGTGGAGCCCATCATGTTTTTGTATCAGCTGCAAACTCTCAAATTTTGCAGTCACAAGTGAGTTGAAAAGCCCTTTAAAATAACGAAGTATTTATAAAACTTCAAATATTGTTTTTTTTCTTTCGGTAAACCCAAATATTGCTTTTAATCCGAAAAATAGATATAGGATTGCTGAGGTTCACTACAGCAGCAAGCATGTCCATTACAAAATGTCAAAAACTATCTTATCAATGCTAGCGATGTAAAATCACCATTGATATCTGTAACACATTGAGAAATTATAAACATGATATCCGTAACTACCGTAAATTATATCCGTTTGAATTATTTTAAGCTGCTAAACATGATATATGTTCGGTGTGCTGAAATTATTCACGTAGGATTAGCTTTTGGGACGTCCAATTTGGCTAAGGAATCACACATAGGCTATTGAGATGGAAAATTCTTGTTTAGACTTAGTTGTAAGCTTAAAGTTCATGTTTTTTATTTTCACCAGCTCTACGCTACACAAATGTTGATTCATTGATTTGTGATAGTGCTTTGATTGATCTTTGAAGTATAATATTATCAGGGAAAAGTCCAATTTCCATCAATGATTAACGGAAAATTCACTTTAGAAAAGTATATGTATCGAGTTGAGCGTTTTTAAAAACGTGAGGATGAACGTGCGTGTGATCCTAAGTTGGAGGGAGTAAATTGAACTTTTACTATTTTATTTCTACTTGTCATTGGTTTATACCTATGTTTATGATATCTTGTTAAATTGTGAAGTGGGCCCCTTGCTTACTGGTCAATCAATATATTCAAGAGCAGTTTGAGAGGAGCTTGAGCTTTTAATCTGTATTTGATGTCCTATAATTTGCTTTCTTATATATTGAGGTTTCTAGTTTGAATTTTGGGGTGATTGCTAAGTACCATAATCATTATCTACGTTTAATTTAGGACATGGTAGCTGAAATTGCCATGAAATGGACACAGGTTCTTAGAACTGCAGCTATTGGAGTAAGGTTTATAGGTGTTGATCTGAAACAGTCATGTCTCATTGTCTCTTACTCATATTCCATGATCAGACATTTTGCATGTTGTCTATTAATGGCAGTGTTGCAAATTTTTTCCTTTTAATTAACACCTATTATTTGGTGGGAGACTATAGTAGACAATACCTATCATAGTTTCCTTCTTGCTCTAATCCCTTTACAAATGTTGGTGCTTTTCTCATAGATACATATGTATGTCTTTACAAATTACAGGCTGCAAAGAAAACAGCAGAGAATGCTATAAACCTTAGGCGTGTGGATGACCAGGTTAATTGTTAGATTAAGAGATATTTGAAATTGAATTACTGTTGTAAAGATTTAGATTATCTTTCTGTTTATGTTTCTGTTTACAACAAATTCTTGTTTAAGAAGTTGTTAGAATATTTTTAGGAATTAGTTTTGAAGATAAAGTGTATAAATACTCATCCTCTGTAAATGAATGAGATGAATCAATAGAAAAGTATTTCAGAATTTAAAGTCTTGACATGGTATCAGTTGTGTTATGATCCAAGGAAATTTTTTTTTCTTCCATTAATTATTCCAACGTTTCTTTCCCCTAACCCAGACCCATTTTTTTTTACCCGAACCCAAAACCCGTTTCCCTTTCCCATTCCAAATCCCTAATCCATTTCAATGGACACAACGAATTCATCCCCTGAAACCAACCCCACCGCCGCGTCTTCCCCTGTTCCTCCTCCACCCTCCAACATCATTATCCAACAAGATATCTCATCTTTTCCCATCACCGTTGTTCTAGATGACAACAATTACCCTCTTTGGTCCCAGTTGCTAGAAATGCGCATTGGAGCGCGTAACAAGTCCGGATTTCTCACCGGAACGTCTCTGAAACCACCGGTTGGTGACCCTTCGTACGATTCATGGGTTACCGACAACAAGAGAGTCAAGAGCTGGCTCATAGACTCCATGACTCCCTCTTTGATGCAGCGTTTCCTGCGCCTCGAAACGGCAGCGGCAATTTGGGATGCCGCACGAAGAACCTTCTTTGATGCTTCCGATGAAACTTGCTTGTTTGAGTTGAATCAACGTTCCTTCACAACGAAACAGCATGGCCGCCCAATCTCTGTCTATTACAATGAACTCCTTTCCATATTTCAAGATATAGATCATCGTACCTCCTCTCAGGCTGACACCGTTGCTGGGGTTGTCCACATGCAGTCCTCTATCGTTCGATTACGTGTTCACATCTTTCTCAGCGGTCTTGATTCTGAGTTTGATCAGGTTCGCGGTGAAATCCTCCGCAAAGACCCAAAATTGGATCTTGAGGGGTCTTATGCTTACGTCCGTAGGGAATACCAGCAACGCGTCACTATGAATCGTCCAGCTCCTTCCTCTGAGCCCTCAGCCATGGTGGCCAAAGGCGGCCGTCCATCATCTGGTCCTCCAAAGCTTCGCAAAGATTCTTTTCCTCCGAAACCACTCTGCTCTCACTGTGGAGATGTTGGTCACCCCAAAGCTCGATGCTATGAGATCATTGGGTATCCCGATTGGTGGGATTTTACTAAAAGGCCTCGCCGGAAAATTCTGCACAGAGCTCCCACTCCCTCACCGGATATGACTTCTAATTCCTCTTCTGCCCATGCTGTGTACGAAGGAGTCCTGGGTAACTCTCCTCTCCCTTCTGCCAATGCTGTTTATGAAGGAGTTCCTGGTAAGTCCAATGCGCTCCTTACATTATCTGATTTTGATTCCTGGATAATAGATAGTGGTGCATCTGATCACATGATTAAAAATCATACATTGCTGACTGATTTTTCCCCTTCCCCTAAGACTGAGATTTCAACTGCTAATGGTGGTTCATCCGCCATAATTGGTCAAGGTTCTATATCCCTTTCTCCTTTGTTACATCTTAAATCTGTGTTGGCTGTTCCCTCACTCGAATTTAATCTCCTCTCTGTTAGTCAGATTACGTTTCATCTTAATTGCTCTGTGCATTTTTTCCCTACCTCTTGTATTTTCCAGGACAACCAAACGCAGAAGATCCTTGGTTATGGTGTTAGAAAAGGCAAGCTCTACTTCTTGGATGTCTCTTCCTGTAGCAACGAACTCTCTCCTCGTGCATCTACTACCTCTGCTGTGGACAAAGCAAAAGAAAAAATCTGGTTATGGCATCGCAGACTGGGGCATCTTTCATTCCGATATCTTCATAAGTTGTTTCCCAATTTCTTTTCTAGGATAAATGTTAGTGATTTCCATTGTTCAGTCTGTGCATTAGCTAAAAGCCACAGAATTCCTTTTTTTCCAAGTTTTAATAAAAG